AAATTCAACAATAAATATCATTGAAATTTTATTCAAAAATAATTCCCCGTCATTTCTGCTTACAAAATAGCTGCTGGAGTATCACTTTTCCCATCGTAAGCTTTGTCCCCTGCCAGTGTATTGCAGTGATTGTAGTGCCCGTTTATGTGCAGACCACATCAGTTGATAAGAATTGCTTCGTCATTTCATTGTAAATGTAGCATGGATTGCAATGTGATAACATTAATCTAGTCTTTTTTCTTCTATTTTCTTGGATCTCCATTCGCTTCTTCAACACGGAATCATTCCATCATTGTCATTTCGTTCGTTATTCACGTTATCCTTATTATTTGCGGGGAAGGCTTCTCAAAATAGTAAAATTCTTACAGTAAAGGCCAGAATTGTTCAATTTTGTGGAGATTTTTTTTAATATTTACATTTTATTTGGGATCTCTATGAAATTTTGTCTCTCAATGCTATTTTTTATTGTTTAAGGTTTTGATAATCTAAAACATGAGGAAAGAATTCATTTGGTAATTTTCTCGTTAATCTTGCATTTTTTGTTGTCTTATGTCCCATTTGTATCAAGCATTGTTTATTTTCATGAATTTTTACTCTGCAGCACTATAGCTGTGCTGTGCGGCGTTTTTACTGGCTATAACGTTGCTACAGCCAGCCAAAACATATATTGTCGAGAGGCCGTCTATGTCTGTGTGTGTGTGTTAGGAAGCGAGTGCATTTTGTCGCCTACTTTCATCTCAGCATCCAGGAAAGTTGGAGGCTGAAATTTTGGACATATGTTTCTACCCAGTGTGTCATCCTCCCGTTTTAAAATTTTCGCTCATAAGCGCCTAGACCCCGCATACGGACCCCGTCCTCCCCCCAAAATATGCAGGTTTCTTTGGCGGGAAACGATTTTGCGAGGCAGGTTAGGTACAAAGCTGAAACTTTGCAAGAATACTCTCTGCGCATGTGCGAGCTAAAGATTTCAAATTCAGCTGTTATGCATGGTTGTGCAGCGCGATCGCATCAAAGTTTGCACTTGGCACTGTGCTAGCTTGAAAACTAGCCGGAAAACAATGACTAAAATTTTGCCAGAATATTTATCGTCCATGTAAGAAATTGTATGCCTAAAATGAGTACCGATTTACACTTGCGCCACGATTTAGGGTACTTCAAAGATATTTGTAGGGAATTGGATATTTCGCTTACCGGATAAGGTGTTAGGCTCAAAATTCGCTGGGATATTCTGTTTTCAAGTGCGGTATTCTGCTTGAAGGTGAAATTCCCTGCAAGTGGGCATGAGGAATACTCGACTTTACCGAAAAATCAGAAACGAGTGCGTTTTGCAGCGAACGACTGCTCTTATCCAAATATATGAATGAACGTCCCGTTCATTTGCATACTTGGATTTTTTATCGAACGACCGCTTTAGTAACATTTCCACTTTTTAGTGAACTGGAAATTTGCATTTGTTCAAAAAGTGAGCATTTACCGAAAAAACGACAGGACTTTATGCAAGAAACTGGTAGTCATGTATCTGGAGGTCCATGTGTCCCTGTAATGCAAGACTTTCATCCCAAGCGACGCTCTTTCTCTTGCATGCCAGAAAAGGCCAGAGCACGGCCAATATTAGCCCAGGTTTTGAGCTACACATTCCTGATGTTGTCGATCTGCGAGTTTAGTGCAAAAGCGCATAATCGCACCGACAGGCCTGGTTCATTCCAGCCTGGGTTTCAGTATTTCGAACTTCTCTGTCTGAATTCGGGTAACCTAATTTCAGATTTCTTCGTTTATGCTCAGGTTCTTATAGAAGGGGAGGAAGTCCTTGAAATTTATCAGTCTTTGGCACCTTTTTTCTTTTCAGCAGTCCCTTTTTTCAGATTCACTTTTTGTTCTGTTTGCTTCAAGTTTATGCCACATTATCTGTGTTTCCTGTTGCTCTGTTTTCCTTCCCCATGAAGTTGTTATTGTAGGATGAATGAAATTAAATGAACTATTGCTGTTCATTGAAGTGTAGAGGGGAACTCAAATTCCTGTAACACTTTTACACATTCGAAGCCTCATTTGTTCGAAAAATATAAAAAATTTCGAATTCAATAATTGAATTGAAATTTTTGAATGAAAGAAACTTCACAAGTTCGTTTGAGCATTTTTCAAAACATCATTTCAACCATGATTTCTTGCTTGTTTCATCGCGAATTATCTGTTGTCCATCAGCTAAACACCAAAACTGTTTCAGAATTTTTAAGGAATACTGTTGATTTTTAATATGCTTACGGCCAGAAGATTTTATTTAGCAGTTTAGCCATATTATCATTTACATAAATATATATGACAGGCAGTGCTTAAAACACAATTTGGCTAGAGAGTTTCTCTTGGGTATAATAAGGTCGGTGGGCAAACTACACACAATTCAATGTTTTGGCATTACTGCGCGACGGAACAAAGT